GTGAGCATTTCTTCATGTGTCTGTTAGCCACCTGAATATCTTCTTTGGCGAGGTGCCTGTTAGAGTAGCTGGGCTTCTTAAATGGAAGCTCAGAACTTCAAATACAGATGACCTAACAGCCAAACGGAAGCTGTATTGCCTTTTTTAATTAACCTAGCTGCATAAATCATACAGCATCATTTTCACTGAATTCTGTTCATCGAGACAGGCACAAAGGCTGTGGAGGTTCAAGGGTTGGGAATATAGATTTCTTTTGGCAGGAGGTGTGTCAAGAATTTGCAGACATGTTTTAAAACCATCACAGATTGTTGAACTGCTCTGTGTTTTGTTGTATATATTTTTACCACACAAAAAAAATCACAGGTTTGATTTTAACATAACTGGGGTTTTTAATACTGTATGTATTATTTTCTTTGCTGTTGTTCCTGTTCTTCCACATCCTGAAAACACTTGGTATTATCAGGCTTTTAAATTTGTGTCCATTATATGGGCATGAAATGCTATTTAATGTTTTATTTTGCATTTCTCTGATTACTGGTGCGGTTGAACATATTTTCATATGTTTTGTTGTTTGCCATTGAGTCGATTTTTGACTCATAGTGACCCCATGTGACAAAGTAGATCTGCCCCATAGGGTTTTCTAGGCTGTAATCTTTATGGGAACAGATCACCAGGTCTTTCTTCTGTGGAGCTGCTGGGTGGGTTCTAACTACCAGTCTTTCAGGTAGCAGCCAAGCGTTTAACTCTTGCTCCACCAGGGTTCCTTTTCATAAGTATTCTTCTATTGGTAATTTCCTGTTAATATTTTTTGCCCATTTCTTGGAGTTGTTTGTATTTTTCTTATTGATATTATGAGTTCTTTGTTAATCCTGGATATTCTTACTTTTGTAAGTTATATCATTATACATATCTTCTTCCAGTTTGTGGCTTGTCTTTCTACTCTGTTTATGGTGTCTTTCACTGAGTAGACATTTTACATTTTAATGTGGTAAAATTTATCTGTCTTGTCCTTTATGGTTTGTGTTTTTGGTGACTTGGTTGAGGATTCCTTCCTTAATCTAAGTTAATGATACTCCTTTATATTTTTTTGTAAAAGTTTAAAATTTTGCTTTTCACATTTATAACTTTAGCTCACTTAGGATATAGACTTGTTTCTCTATGTGGATAAACCATTTGCCCAGTATCACTTATTACATAGTTCTTCCTTTCCTCAGTGATACGTAGTATTGTCTCTATTACATATCAAGTCCCTGTACATGTGCGGGTCTGTGATTGGGCTCATTATACTGTGATCTATTTTCTATCCCTGTACAATATCACATTGTCAAAATTATAGTAGCTTTATCATAAGACTTGATACCTGGCAGGCAAAGTCACGCACCTTGTTTTTCTTCTTTAAGATTTTCCTGGTTATTTTTGGTTATTTGCTTTTCTATATGAATTTTAAAAAATTATCAAGTACACAAAAACAGTTGAGATTTTGGTTGAAAGTCCATTGAATATATAAATTAATCTGGAGAACTGACATTTTTGTGATACTGAATTTTTACATTTATGAGCATAGTGTATCTTCCCATTGCTTATTGTTGTGTTGTGTGCTGTCGAGTTGATTCCAGCTCACAGCAACCCTGTATGACAGAGAGGAATGGCCCCACTGGGTTTCCTAGGCTGTAATCTTTACAGGAGCAGATCGCTGATCTTTTCTCCTGTGGAGCCACTGGTTGTTTCAAACCACCGACCTTTCAGTTAGTAGCAGAGCACTTAACCATTGTGCACCAGGGTTCCTTTCCCATTGCTTAGCTCTCTCTCTTTTTTTTTTTTTTTTTTTTTTGCTCTGACTAGAACTTCTAGTAGAAAGTTGAATAGCAGTGTTGAACATAGACATTTTTTTTTTTTTTTTTTGCATTTCAAATCATAGGTAACATTGAAGCAGAAATGGAAACGTATAATTCTTAATGAGAAAAATTCAAGTGTTGGTAGCTGGAATTTCTAGCACAGTTTTTAAAGCAATTGTTAGTATGTTGTTAGAAGAACAACATGTATTTCCATGAGAATGCATTATAATCATTAATTTTATTTAATTATAGAGAATAAATAATTTCCTTCCCACTTGTACTTCAGAGACAGATAATATACTTAGGTCTCTTTTTATGCTTTTTTAAACCATGTTTTATAAGTTTATAAAGCTCTTGCATATACTCTCAGATTTATGTCTAAGCACCTTATAATTTCTGTTGCTATTATAAATGAGTGGTTCTGCTCTGTCCTGTAGGGTCACTATGAGTCAGAACCAACTAAACAGCACCTAACAACAACAATAATTATAAATGGTACATTTTTAAATTATGATTTCTAATGTCTGTTGCTGTCATTCACTTTCTAACCCATTGTAATCAGGCTTTTGCCTTTCTATTCTGCTAAAATTGCTCTCACTAGTAGCTCCCGACTAAAAGGCAAATCAAACAGACACTTAGCTTATATGGCATTTGATGTTCTTGACCACTCCTTTATTCTTAATTCTTTATTGTCTCCATAAAACCACATCCTGGTTTTCCTTTCTTTAACCTAGCCACAGAAGTCACCAAGCTCTGACTCCATTTCTTTTTTTGTTTTTATCAGTCTCCTTTATAGGCTCTAATTTCCTTTCTTTCTAAATACTTGTTTCCCAGGGTTCTATTGTTGACTCTCTTTTCCCTGATCCACCCCGTCTCTGCAGTGAATTCATATAAAACTCCAGACCGTCCTTTCCACTGAGATCCAGACCAGAGATCTAATCACCTACTGGAATCTCTGCTTGGATGTATCATTGTTCATTGTTGTTGTTAGTTGCCGTTGAGTTGATTCCGACTCATGGTGACCCCATGTGTACAGAGTAGAACTGCTCCATAATGTTTTCAAGGCTGTGACCTTTCGGAAGCAGATTGCCAGGCCTGCCTTTCAAGGTGCCTCCGGGTAGGTTTGAACCTCCAAGCTTTTGGTTAGTAGTCAAGCACATAATCGTTTGCACTACCTGGGAACGCTCATAGCCGTGCTAGTGGGTATGAAATGGTCTCACTGTGATTTTGATTTGTATTTTCCTAATGGCTAATGATGAGCTTTCATGTTATCCTTTGACTTAAAATTTTATCCTGGAGCTTTTTTTTATATTATTACACATAAATCCACTGCATTCTTTGTCACGTTTGCATAGGGTTCCATGATAGGGCTATAACGTGATTCTAAACATTTTTCTATTGATTGTCACTTAGACTGTACCTAATTTTTCTATATTTCAAATAAGAATGGTTTCACTTACTCTCTGGAGTGGATGACAGCAGACTAGGACGCTCACCCACTCTCTCTAAAGTACTTTCTGGTGAAAAGAGAATAATTGAATGAATTGTGGAACATTCATAATATTCCACATTATGGTATATTATGCAGACATTAAAAAGAATATATTTAAGCTGCTGGTAGAGTAGAGTTGGAGGGATTTCCACAGGTATTGTTTAGTGAGAAAAGTATGATGATACACACATGCCCATTCAACAATTTCTACATGTTCAATTCAGTGACGTTGGTTACATTCATCACATTGTATTATCAGTCTCACTATCTCTACCCAAATTATTTCACCCCCATTAACTTAGACTTACTGCCCCCTAAAATTCTTATCTATGCTTTAGAGTTACTGTTGTCAATTTGATCTTATATAGATAATTCTTTAAAAGAGCATAATGCTCAAGGTAAATATTTTTCCTAATTGAGCTAAACAGTTGTTTGGTTTAAAGATGACTTCAGGGGATAGTTTTTGGTTCAAGCTTTAAAGATTATGTCAGGGCAATAGATTCAAAGTTTCATTTTGTCTCAATGGGTCCACTAAGTCTGGACTCCATAGGAATTTGAAATTATGTTCCACGTTTTCCCTCTTTTGACTAGCATCCATCTATTGAATCCCTGATCAAAACGTTTGGTAATGGTAGCTGAGCACCGTGGCTCATGGTCTCACGGCAAAGGAGGCAGTAGTTCATGGAGGCAATTAGATCTGCAGTCCAGTTTCTTTTCCGATTGCTAGGTCTTCTTCCTCTGCTACTCCAGGCAAATAGAGACCAGTTATTGTTTCGTGGATGGCTGCTTGTAAGCTTTTAAGACCTCAGGCTCTACTCACTGAACTAGGAGGTAGAACAGAAACTGTGAAACAACATTAGGCCAACTGACTGGATTGTTCTCATGAAACCATTACTCTAAACCATCAAACCAAGCAAGCTAATTCCATGAGGTGTTTGGTCTGGTTGTACCTAAGTAGTATCAACAGCTGTACCCTTTTTTGTTGTTGCTATAAAATTATATATAACACATTGGCCATTTTGCCCTTTTTCTGGTGTACTGCTTAGTGATAACAGTTAACATTAGTCAAGTTGTGTAACCATTGCCTAAAGTGCTTTATTTCTTGACAAAGCCCTTGCTATTTAGATGTGGAAGGGATCTTGGTTGTTTCTAGTTCCCAGCAGTGGTATAGAACTTTTCCTGAAATACTGATTAGATCATTTCCCCAAAATTTAAGGGAAGAAGGAGTCAGAAGTGTCAGTTAAGGTTACCACTTTAGTCTGGAGATCAGGTCTCTTTTTTTAAAATTACTATTTTGTACCCATAGGACTTGTTGGCCTTTGTAAATGTGATTATTAAATACACAAAGCTAACCTAAAATAAGTGGTAACATTTTAGAATATTCCCTTAAATGCTAATTTATAATAAGTTTTCCTTATTATTTTTCTTTTGGTTTGTGTGTTTGATTAATTGCTGCCTTATAGAACTGGTTAGTCTGACTAAATGTTTGTGGGAAAGAGACAGGAATATAAATACCCTGAATTTTAAAGACTGTATGGTTTGAGGAAAATGAGAAATATTACTTTTTTATTTAAACTTGTGTATTTTATCTCGGTCAGGTTGGAGTGATCGATTTTTCCCTCTACCTTAAAGATGTGCAGGATCTCAATGGTGGCAAAGAGTAAGTGCTGTGCTGTACACTTGTTCACATATTTCATGAAGTTCTGGTAAAGAATGCTATTTTTATTTTTGCTTTGTTTGAGATTTTAGTTTTCATTTAGTTACTTTTAATTGCAGTGCTAATACATGAATGATTCTCATTGTTTAAGAAATTAGCTACATGGAAGACTAGAGAATGAACATGAAATTTCCCCATTCATACTGCCCCCTCATCCCCATGTCAGTCCCACTCCTCTCCTCAGAGGACACTACTCTTACATTTCCTTCCAAACCTTTTTTTAATGCCTTACAATCCTATATTTGTTGGTAGTATATTCTGCTTTATGGTTTGCTTGTTTGAATATAAATGGGGAGGTACTATATAAATTGCCCTTTGACTTGTTCTTTGGTCGTAATGTGTCTCGGATGTCTTTCCATATCATGTGTAGCTCTCCCTCATCCTTTTTAAGTAACAGCATTCTTTTAAAAAAGTTCTCCAGGAAGAAAAAGAAAAGGAAGTTAAAGAATTGTGTGTATATCGTGTTATAATATTTATGTTATAATAAAAAAAGATATGCATACGTATTTCTACGTTAGACTTTCATGTGCATGGAACACTTGTAGAGTGGCACTGATAACAGAGCCTGGTAATAGTGGTTGCCTGTGGAGCCCTGGTGGCATCGTGGTTAAGAGCTATGGCTGCTAACCAAAAGATCAGCAGTTCGAATCCTCCAGCTGCTCCTTTGAAAACCCTATGGGGCAGTTCTACTCTGTCCTGTAGGGTCACTATGAGTCAGAATTGACTGGATGGCAACGAGTTTGTTTTGTTTTTTTTTTTTGGTGGGGAAGGGGATGGCAGGCAGGCATGGCAAGAAATTGTCACTGTAAACTCTTTGGTCGTGTTTGACTATTTTACCATGGGCCTACTACCTGTCTTTCCAAATGACTCCCCCACAGTCTCAGTGCCCTGGTAGCACCCTGCCTAGGAAAGGACTAGCAGGAACCCCACTGATTCTTTATGCACCCTGAGTACAAAGGTTAACCCACTGGGAATTTAAAATCTAGTCTTAACTGGCAAAAAAATGGAAATAAAATTATTATCCTCTAATAAGAGAATAATTGAATGAATTGTGGAACATTCATAATATTCCACATTATGGTATATTATGCAGACATTAAAAAGAATATATTTAAGCTGCTGGTAGAGTAGAGTTGGAGGGATTTCCACAGGTATTGTTTAGTGAGAAAAGTATGATGATAAGTATATATGATACCTAATTTTCATAAACAAAAACATCCCTAATATATACACCTACTCCTCACTATCTCGTTATCCAACATTTCACATTTACGACAATAGTAAAAAAAACTACTATCCGACTGTTTTGCCAATAACGATGTACGTCTGGCAGTAACAAACACCAAGTTGCGAGGCAAGAGTAGTGCTGGCTGTGATGGTTAAGGTTATGTGTCAACTTGGCTGGGTCAGGATTCTCAGTGGTTTGGCAGTTATGTAATAGTGTAATTTTGCAATTATGTAATAATGTCATTTGGCAGTTGTGTAATGCTGTCATTTGGCAGTTATGTAGTGATGTAGTCATCCTCCATTTTGTGGTCTGATGTGATCAACCTCCATTTTTGCATAACGCCAATTTCGTATAATGACCTGGTCTTTGGAACCTAACCATGTCAATAAGTGAGGAGTGGGTATATTTTATCTTTTAATTGTGTATGTCTCCACACATGTATGTACATTATTGTATGTATATGGAAGGTTGTAAACATGGGTTACCTGGAAGAGCTGTGAAAGGGCAGGATGGAGGAGAGCAGGTTTAAAAAAATGACTGCACTCAAAAACAAATCCAGCACATATGGCATGAGGCTGTAGAATGATCCCATGTATATAAATTATATGTTTGTGTGTATATAAAGAAATTAGGGGGTAGAAAGCCTAACTTTAAAATATTAACCCAGACTTCCCTGGCCTTTAGAACTGATGAGCTTGTGTTTCAAAAAGTCTCATCATGTCCTTTCCAAAGTGAGCCTCCTTTATTTCAGTGTGATAAGAATCACTTTCTCCGCCACATCCAGAGTGCTGTTTGCATGTTGCAGGTTGGTGCTTCCACCTTGCTCATGGAGGGTTGTCTCTTCTCATCCCAAATGTCCAGCTGTCTTCAGATCTTCAGAAGGGGAGGGTGTCCACAGGGAGCCTGAGGTCCTGGCTGCTGCCTCCCTGGCCAGCCATGCTCTCTTTTCTCTCTGGGATTGGGCAGGTATTACTGAGCTCTGACTGCCTCTTGGTTTCCGGAAGACATTGGTATTTCTACAAGGTAATTGGAAGGTTGGAGGGCAGTTACAAAGTATTAACCATGAATTTAAAAAGTGGGTCCCTTCTTTTGCTCTTTTAAAAAAGGCACGAAAGAATTACTGATGTCCTTGATCAAAAGAATTACGTGGAAGAACTCAACCGGCACTTAAGGTAGGACTCTCTCCTTTTTTCCAGTGTTAGTTATGTACTCCCTATCCTTTATCCTATAATTTTTTCGTATAACTTGAGTTGCCATAAATTTATAACATCAATTGTCATTCAAAGAGTACTTTTTTCCATAACAAGAAAAAAGTTATCGTTGAAGCAGTATGCATGTGCACAGGCTGGGGAAGTATGATTTCTTATTGATAAATGGCTTTTGGAAATTCTTTGGGTTTTTGTTTTGTTTTGCACAGTTACACAGTTTCAAGGGGTAAATAAATTAAAGACTAGATCTCCACTGCCTACCCCACAGCCACGTTGTTGAAAATCACTGCCATGGGAATCACTGCTACTGATGGGAATGTGCTAAATCTCTCTGGTGGGTTGTTGCAGGAAAAATAGGTTGAAAACCACTGGGCTAGACCTTCCAGAACAATTTGATAGTGATCGCAAGCATCTTTATTTTGCATTTTTATTTAATTGGAAAGCTGCTAATGTGTTTCATGAAATACTAGTCCTTGGAGATGTTGATGGGGAGTGGGGGAGATTCTTAGTCTAAAGTGTTTGGGAGACACGTTATTCTCTATCTGCACCCCTTTTAAATCATGTACATTGCATGTTAGCAGTACTCCACAGGAAAGCCTCTGCCCAGAGCCCTTGTACACAGGCAAAGAAACTGCACATTCCTCAGAGTGTGCTTAGGGAAAAGCTTCTCTTAGGCTTCTTCCTTAAGTGTGATGTTGGCTGCTGTTTTGAGAGAGAGATTTTTGACCTAGTCCTAGTTTATTGAGAATTTTTATAAGGACTAGATGTTGCATCGAATGCCTTTTATCACCTGTGAAGGTAATCCTGACTTCTGTCACTTAATCTATTGATACGATGACTGTTATATTAATGGGCTTCTTTATACTGAACCATTCCTCTTTCACAGAAGTAAACTCTTCTTGATCATAGTTTTAGTAATTTAATCATTCTTTTAACATGTAAGCTAATTTAATTGTTCCTCTGGCATGGTATCAGGGTAGTGCAGCTTCACAAAATGAATTAAAAAGCTTTGCCTTATTTCTGTGCCTGGGTACAGCTTCTAGTTCATGGGCTTTATTTGTTCACTGAAAACTTGAAGGTGTCTGGGCCCAAAGCCTTTTTGGAGCTAATGTTTTGCTAGTTTTCCATTTTTTTGTTAGTTGGTGTTCCATCTAGGTTTTCTGCTTCTTGAGGATAAGTCACTTTTGGTAATTTATATTTTCTAAGAAAAATATAAATTTTATTGATATTTTCTTAATTACATAGTTAATATAGAGGTGAAAATTATATACTCTTAAAACTCTTAATTCCCTCCGTATTTTTTGTTTTATTCTCTGTCTTAGTCAGGGTTCTCTAGAGAAACAGAACCAACAAGATGTATACACAGAGAGAGATTTACTTCAAGAGATTGGCTCACATGATTATGATGGGCTGGCAAATCCAAAATCTGTAAATCAGATGGCAGGCTGGAGACTCCTGCAGTTTTATGTCCTAAGATTCATAGGTCAGGCAACAGGAAGAGTGCAGAGGTGAGAGAGAAAGCAAGTTCTGCTGTGATATCTATGTATAGTCTGAAGGCAGATCACACCCCAAGAAAACCCCCCTTTCAGTTGACTGATTGATTATTTTACATTAGATTATATTATGGAAAGTGATTACATTACATTCGAATACATTATGAAACAGCAACTAGTCTAGTGTTTGGCCAAACCACTGGGAACCATAGCCTAACCAAGCTGACAAGTAAAATTAACCATCACGTTCTCCTTTTCATTTTGTGTCTTTGTATTTTTATTTTTCTTCCCACCCAACTCCTAAACCTTGATTCATTAACCTTGCCAGATTTGTTTCTTTATCTTCTCCCTCACCAGCAAAAGGGACCTGTGTTTGGCACTATGGCCTATTGCTTAAAAGTGACAGTTTTTACTGGGCTCAAATCCTGGCCCCTTTCATAGATGTGTGATCTTGAGAGAGTTCTTTAATATATAAAGTTCTGGTTTCCTCGTTTGTAAAATAGGTAACAACAGGACCTACCTCAGAGAATTGGGGTGATGACTAAATGAGTCGATGGAGTTAAAGTGCTCAGAGCCAACAGGCGCATAGTCCAGAAACAGTATTAGTATTACAGTGGTTATGATTATTATTGTTTATCAAGTCCACTGGCTTCCTATTTTCTGATTGATTACATGAGCTTTCTACATATTTTTTCAGCATAAATGTAGTATATATTCCTTAAAGAATATTGGAAAAATAGAGAAAGGTATGAAAAAGATTGGAAAATCACCTTTGATTCTACTACTGAAATATCTTGTAATGAATGTTACTTTAGATATATTAACCACCAACACATTTTGGTTTCCATCATCTATTGTGTTGGGGAAAAAATATTTTCTTTCCAACTGACTAAAAAAGAAATGGGTAGCATGTTCTAGGGGTAAAACTTAATCAGAAGTGTGTGTGTATACACACACATGCACATGTATATATATTTTTTAGAATTCTCATCTCCACTGAGTTAATTGGAGAGACCTTTGACTTTGCATTTCACACAGGAAATCTAAAAATTTCTGTTCTCAGGTGCTTACAGGTTGGGAAAACAGTCAGCTTTTATAAGTTCACATTTACTTATTTTCTACAGTTGTACTGTTGGGGATCTTCAGGCCAAGATAGATGGCTTGGAAAAGACAAATTCAAAGCTTCAAGAAGAGGTTTGTACTAATTTGTGGAAATTCTTAAACAAAACAATTTACCCAGAGTTAAGAGAAACAGCATAGTTGGTATGTCTGACTACAGTTTATTGCTGGTAGGAACGGGAATTGCTAACGTTGGTTGAGCTGCACATGGTCAGGCATGCTCAACACTATGCTCAACACTATGCTCAACACTTTGCATCCTCAGAACATCCCTATTCTGCCCTGTCCAGGGCCCCCAGTGAGAGACTACAACTGACCGTGAGCCAGTTCTGCGGGACTTTGGTTTTATTACTTGAAAGTAGTCCAATAGAGGAAAGCTCCTTCTTTGAAAATCCCAGCTTCTGTTGTGAAACTGCTATTTGCTCCTCTTTTCCGCCTTTCCTATGAGGTAGTTTGTCCCTGTCCCCGCTACCCCAGAAGGCAGTGACTGATGATAGGTGTAAATACCCTAGCCCACGCCCTCTATCTCTGCCTCTTAGAAGAGGAAGCAGAACCACTCTCTCCACAGCATTGTCTTTCTCTTCTTTCTCATTAGGAAGAGAGAAGGAAAGGACAGAAAGGAGGAGGGCTGAGGCAGAGGGAGAAAGCTTACTGCCAGCTGCCTGGCAGCCCACTTTGGACATATTGTTTCTCCTATTAGCAGAAGGGGGGTTGCCCAGCCTTTCTGAGCCTTTCCACAGGTAGTAGCAGTCCCTGTCTGCTCAGGCCTTCCCCCACCCTAGACTCAGTGAGAAGGAAGAAGGGCTCTCAGGGGCTTGAGCGTGAACACCCGACTCTTGTGGGATCAGGTTACAGGCATGCCTTTATAATGAAGGACTCCCATGTAAGGCTGCTTTCACCTGAGGGGTCTGCATTGTAAGGCTTTCAGGAGAGGAGCTCAGATGTGTATGAATAGAAGGAAATTCAACATGAGTATATATTCATAAATGGGCATCATGGGAGAAACTTCATTGAACTTAGATTCAGAGGACTCGCGTTCACCTTAGGTAGGTAGGCCTTTGAGCCTCAGTTTAGGTAGGTACTAGGTGATAAAACATACTTTACAATAGTATGTTTTATAAATATATAATATATACATTTATAAATATATACATGTATCTAATATACCCCTTGGCCTGTGGAGGCACTCAAGAGATGTTGGTTAATTTTAGAACAAACAGATCTGTTGGTTCTTCCAGATGAGGTGGCATGCTTTGAATGAAGGCCTAATTTAGCTTTTTTTTTTTTTAATTCTGGTGAAAATGTACACAGTACATCATACAGCAATTCAACAAAATTTAGCTTTTGAAACTAAACCATCGGTATTTTTATCTTTAGAAGCAAATGATTGTAATGAAAAATGTGCTTTACTTCTATTCAGGGATACTCTCTGCGTCTTCAGATGGGATGGGAATTGGCTTACCGTTTTTTGTCTGCTGCTTCCCTTTTAGTAACTAAGGCCTCCTTTTAAAGCCTTGATTTTTCTTATTGGAGCACAGCATTTACATTTAGAAAACCTAGTCCAGGGTTCTGGGTCTGAGTGAAGAGTGATTCTGGGGTGTTTTCAGACACTTTTGACAAAGAGGAAGAGAGGAGTTTAGCGCTTCAAGGTTCCTCTATCAGCGAATGATGCCAATAGCATACACAGGAAGTGCCAAGAACAAATGCCTTGCTTCTTTCTCTTCTCTCTCCACACTGTGTTCTGAGGCTAGAATGAGGGGCCAGGGGAGGGAAGTGGCGGTTAGTTGGTATATTTGCTCACCTCCCCTGCCTCTCAGGATGTCCTCTCCTCAGACAGATCCTGAAGGCGTCCTGCTTCTGTGCACTGTTCCCTAAACTACAGAACTCACTCATTGGAGGACGAGATATCCTCTGGGGCACGGCTTTAGTGGTTTGTTTTTCATTCCTCCCCAAAGCTGCTGTAATTTTCCCTAGAGAGATAAAATGGAGTTTTGCTCATTGGCTAGAAAAACGGAAAAGAACGAAGAAATCAGAAAAAATGCTCACAATCCCTTTGCTAAGCAAGAGCTACTTTTTATTATTTCTTATATATTGTCCCCAACTTTTCTTAAGCATTTTTAACATAGTTAATTTTTTTAATTAGAGTTGAGAGCATACCATATAAGCTGCTGCTTTTCTATCAATATTGTAGCATAAGTATTTTTTAAGTTAAGAGCTTTTGCAAACATTTTGATAACTACTTATTTCTGTTTTATGCTTCCACTGTAATTTAACCATTTCTCTAATACTGGATATTCAGCCTGTTTCTAATTTTGAGGTCCCTAAATCTTTGCCCACATTAAGTAATATGCTGTCTTTTTTGTAGAAGAGGAGAAAGTCTGAGGAGGATAAAGGTGGCTAGGAGCAGGGGCAGGAGAGAGATTTTAATAGATACATTTTTATGTCTTTTGAAGTTTGAACCACGTGAATTTATTAGCTACTCAAAACAGGAAGTTAAATAAAAAAGAAAATATCAAATGTGTGAAAGTACATTGAAAATTATGAAGATGCCAAATAAATGTGTTTTTATTGGAGCAGTAAGATCAATTTTGATGTTAAACATAGAATTCTTTCTCAATCAGCTTTCAGCTGCAGCAGGCCGGATTTGTTCACTTCAAGAAGAACAGCACCAATTGAGAGAGCAAAATGAATTAATTCGTGAAAGAAGTGAAAAGAGCGTAGAGGTGAGAAATTGAGCTGAGAATTGGGCAGCATGTTTCTCACTCACACATACCTATTTGGTCTCATAGTTCATAGTTTACTAATGACCCAGGCCTCATATGTGCATAGATACCTTGTTTGATGTTACCAAGTGCCTCCTGTCACTGTGTGCTCCCTCACTCTGGGCCTTTTCACATGCACCTCCTGTTCATTCTTCAGTTTCTGCTCAGTGTCTTCTGTGATGCCATTCCTCGTGCCCACGTGTGGGCCAAGGCCCTCCTTCTCCCACGTTCCCATAGCTTTTTGTACATTCCTTCACTGTAGCAATCTGTTTATTGTTTTACATAATTACCTGATGATGAGGATAGAGGCCATATCTGATTCATCTCTAAATCCACCCAGTGCTGAAAACATGCTCAGTAATACTAAATAATTGATTAGTAAGGGCTTTTCCTGATAAGCACTTGTGTTCTGTTTTAAAGAAAACTAAATATAAATTGTTTTTGAATGAATGGATAAATAAAAGTGATCTCTTCATACAATGGAATATTATTCAGCCATAAAGAGAAATGAAGTTCTGATACATGCTATGACCTGGGTGAACCTTGAAAACATTATGCTGAGTGAAATAGATCAGTCACAAAAGGACAAATATTGTATGATCCCACTTATATGAAATATCTAGAATAGGCAAATGCATAGAGATCAAAATTAATTAGTGGTTAGCAAGAGCAGGTGGGAGGAAGAATGAGTTATTGCTTAAGGGTGAGGGAAAAATTTGGAAATGAATAGCGGTAATGGCTCCCCAACCTGGTGAATGTCACTGAATTGTACATATGAAAATGGTTGAAATGGCAAGTGTTTTCTTATACGTATTCTTTAAAAACACAGTTAAAAAAAAAAAAACATACATGTATAGGGTCACTGTGAGTCAGAATCAACTCAACTGCAACCCTCCGGGTTTGGTTTTTTTTTTAAATGTATAAATTGTTTTATGAACCTAACTTGTCTTTACAAAAATTCAGTTGCTCTCATCCTTTTATCTTCAATTTCTAATGTCTTTAAGTTTTTAACCTTTCTTCATCATGCTTGAAAAAATAGAAATTATCCTACATTTTAAAAAATTCTGTTTCAAAATACTATGACTAGTTAGTTTTCTGTAAGCAAGCCATCCCTCTCAATGTTCTTGTTTGATACAGATAACAAAACAGGATACAAAAGTTGAGCTGGAGACTTACAAGCAAACGCGGCAAGGTCTGGATGAGATGTATAGTGACGTGTGGAAGCAGCTAAAAGAGGAAAAGAGAGTCCGATTGGTGAGTGGGTGAGACGGGTTGTCTTTAGAAAGTGCCCTTCAGTAGCCCTCTAAGTTAATTCTGTCAGCACTTTTCACATAGCATGCTTAAACCTGCTGGTGCTCACAGAAAATCGAAGTCCACTTAAAAGAAAAAAAAAAAGCCTATGTTTAGTCACTTTTAGTCTGTGAATGGGGGGGACATGTGTCCTGAATTATCCAGGACAGAAACCTGTTTCAAAATGGTTGCACCTTTGTCTCCATAAACTAGCAGCCCATTCTAGAAATTCTAACATTGCAACATCCAAATTGCTTCCAACAGTCCAATGCAAGACATTCTTTCTGACCTCGCATTCTCATCTGGGGGTTTGGAAAATATGGTTGATAGAATTCTAGGCTCATGTTGCAGCATACCAGCTTTACATTGGCTTGATGCAAAGCCAGTTTTAATTATAAAAATGAAAAGAAAGCAAAAAACTTAATCTAGTTACTCTGTAGACAGACTTTTCTAAGTCTCTCTCGCCTATTCTGACTTCAGTTTATATTTTAGGCATTGCCCAAGATACAATCTCAGTTAAATACATTTCTGTGACCTACTTTAATAACATTTTCCTTGTACATATCCTTTTAAGGAACTAGAAAAAGAACTGGAGTTACAAATTGGAATGAAAACTGAAATGGAAATTGCAATGAAATTACTGGAAAAGGACACCCACGAGAAACAGGACACCCTAGTCGCCCTTCGCCAGCAGCTAGAAGAAGTCAAAGCGATTAACTTACAGATGTTTCACAAGGTTCAGGTGGGAGTCAGCTGTGTGTCCATCTCACACCTGCTGTTTGTCCTGTGCTGCCTTTCAGCCTTGTATCCTTCTTCCTGCAGAATGAGAAAAGATACACATCTTTGAAGCTATTGTATGGGTCAGACCTGGCTCGAGGCCCTTGGACATGTTACTGCGTTTGTTATGTTTGATCCTCACAGCATTCCCTGAGAAAAGTTTATAAAATGGGGAAAAAAATGCATGTAGCAAAACAAAATCCAGTGGTTGAGTAACATGCCTGTGGTTGTACAGCTAATAAGCAGTGGATCCAAACCCCACCTTTGTCCACTGTCCCTTATCTGTCTCCCTACTGTTTCCTGTTAGTAAGTGACTGAGTGTTTACCACAAGAAATGTAGAAGTGGATTAAAGATATAATTTAGTCTTTTTAAGGCACCCTGGTGGTACAGAAGTTAAGAGCTCAGCTGCTAACCAAAAGGTAGGCTTTTCAAACTTTGTCGTTAAGTTCATCTTGCTGTCTCTTCCGGCCCACCCCACTAGCGGCTTGCCTCTCTCTCCTATGTCATTTGAGAGTAGTCAAGGGCATCTAGCCCGGAAAGAGTCAATCATGCCAGAGCTTGAAGGACGGCATCTAAATATTGTAAAGGTTCCTTGCCCAGAAGCTATTGCACCATTCTGTCTCCTTCTCAAAGCTTTTCTTGTTTTGAAGCTCTCTTTCCTATTTTATCTCCAGAACAGTCCCACTTCATCTGCCATAGATGTGGTTTCACTCTCATTTCCCGTATTATGTCAAAGATAATGTGAAGGAAGAGAGTACTTAATAGACTACATTGCTTTATTCTGACTTTTTCCTTTTTTTAACTGTTACATAATCAACATAATAGCAACAATGCAAACTGAAGTAAAACAAAAGTGAAAAGGAGAAAAATAGTTTCACCCTCCTAACAAATTATCTATTTGAATTTTTTCATATTCTATTTTTGGTCAGAATACAAATGTAATGTTATGTGGGTTGGTTAGGGGAAACTAAACTTCTCTAATAATTTAACAGACCCTAAAATAGAGCAGCTTAAAAATACGGAAGTTGTTTTTCTGTAACATAGTTCTAAGGGGAGCATTTCAGATTAGCAGTTTTGCTCCTCACAGTCATTCAGGGACACAGGCTGGTGGCCACTTCAGCTTTCAAGGCCATGCTTATTGTCGCCATCCCTGGTGTCAGTGGAAGAGGGGAGAAAAGCAAAAGTCCAGAGTTGAGGGTTCCTCTTAGTGAGACAGAAGTTGCTCACGTCACTTCCATTCAATTCCATCAATGCAAGTTTCACCAACTTGGCCACCCTTGGCTGCAAGGGGAGCTTGGAAATACCATCTTTGCTGGGCTACAAGCCAGGTGCTTGGGAGAGGAGATAGTGGTAGACAGAGTTGTCTGTACCGCAGTCTGCCCCCTGGCTACCAAATATATGGTGCATCCTCTCCTTTCCATGGGAGGTACCCTGAAGTCCATCTGGTCTCTGCGTCCTCCTCAAGTCCCCATCCCTAGTGGCACCCAGCACTCCATCCGGTCCAGATGTGACTTTAAGTCCAGTGACCTATAAACTAGGCGACCAGTCATCTTTTTCCCATTAACCTGTCACACCCCTATAAAATGGTAAAGCAGAAACACGACAGCCACAGTAACACTTCCTGTTTGGAAAAGAGTAGAAGAGGGAGCACCAGTCTGTGGCAGTTATTACATCCTCTGGGCAGGAGCTGTGAAGGCTCCACCACCTTAATAGCCAGCTCTTGTGAACGCATCTGGCTACCCTGATTCTGCCTTCTGAAGGGACTTCTTCCTCTACTGGCCTCTGTGACCTTAGCTTTGCCTTCTGAGAGTCCATCATCCTCTGTGGCCACGTTGGAAGTGGGCTGCCAGGGAGTGTGTCTTCTTTAGAGGCTGTATAGCTTGTACAGCCAGCTTCTTGCTGATGTAAGTTTGGCAGCCTGGCAGTTGTATTAGGGATCACAGTCACAGATATTTTTCAGGCTGAACTGATGGTTTCTCTGATAATACAGTTCCCTCCATTGTAGCCTCTGGTCTGTTCATTTCCATTCATGCTGCGTATTAGTGAGCAGAGTTCTTTATTAAATGTAGTTCTTGTACCTGCTTTATTGCTTTGTTTCTTGGCTCTATATAATTTTCTGTCTCTCCCGGGGATGTTTTATAGGGCCTTCATTACCCAGTTTTTAGCCTTGTCTCGTGTATTTTAGGGTTTAGAAGCAGTTGGCTTTACTAACCCTGTCAAGCCCTCCTAATCTTTGGGCTCTGTATTTCCATCCATCTCTCTTTGCAAATCAGCAAGTTTTGCCTGTGCTTTTCCCTTTCCTTTGTGTTGCTAAAAACAAGCAACACACAGGAACACTTAAACAGCCATACCCCTAGAGCCCCAGGCACAACTAGCTATACAGCTGCAGCAATCTTTCTGCCAAGTTTGGGCAAGTTGACAGTTGTACTAAATGTCTTGCCGTGACTAACAAGGATCACCAACTTTCCAGCTTGTAACATCTGTTCTGACAGTGCCAAACCCCTGACAGCTAAGTCAGTGCTACATACTTTAGATTTTTGGTATGATCAAGCACTGATAGAATTGTATAATCTTTTTTATTTTTATTTTTTCACTTCAAATCTTTTTCCTCCTCTCTCACCTCAGATGCAGAGGGTTGAGTCAACATCACTCCTCAGGTTTGGGCACATAATAATTAACAAGTCTGTACAAAGTACCTCTCGTTTTATTTTCTTATTTTCCTTTTATCCCCCTTCCTTCCTCCCATCCTCTTTCCCTTAGGCCAGCATTCTAAAGTGCTTATCTTTTATTTATATTTGTCCTTCTAAAACATGTATCATCTTGAGCACATGAATTTTTATTTACATGAGTGTTACTGTGCTGTAGACTGTAGATCTCATTCGTTTATTACTTTTCCCCTCGGCCCTACATTGATCTGTGTGTGTCTAGTTTTTGCCTCTAAGTGTAGCCTTATATCCCAGAGTGTGCACCCTCTGCATCGTCCTTGCCCATTCCCCCTGTGATAGGCAGATCAGTACCTCCAACTCCACTAGCACTAGCAATACCCTAGTGCCTGGACCTACACATACCCCCTTAAGGACCTGGGAGAATTTCTCTGGCACACATAACTTGGAGCAAGATTGCTGGTCACATACTCACTTGGTGTACTTTTGCACAAACTCAGCCACACTGCTTTCCAAAAGGCTCTCACCAGGTGTGTCTCATGATTCCTGGATCTCCACACCCCTCTAACACTTGGCACCATCTAGTGTTCCAACTTTTGCCAGTCTCGTGACATCTAATTGTTGTTTCAATATTTATTTCTCAACCTAATGAGCTTGAAGATCTCTACATATATTTGGTAGCCATTTATTTGGTTTCCTCTTTGTGAGTTACCTGTTCATATGTTTTGTCCTTTTTTCTTTTGGGTGTCCTATCTTTTCCTTGTTGATTAGCAGTAATTCCATATATAGTCTAAATATTAGTCCCTTATTGGTTTACATATTGTAATGTCTTCTCCCAATTTGTCATGTTACTACTTTAAATCCTTATTTTTGATGTAGTCAAATATGTTGATTTTTCACATTATGGCTTGCAATTTTAGGATTTTGTTTAAGAAGCCCTTTCTCATGCCTAGGTGTCAAAGATAGTCTACATTGGTTTTACCTTTCAGATTTAGGTTTTACCTTTTGCATCTAGAGTTTGCCTTTATATATGGTCTTAACCTAGGGATACAGTTTTATTTTTCTCCATACAGTAAGCCACTTAAAAGCTAATTCATCCTTTTCCCATTGATATGTGTGCTACCTTTTATCACATATCAAGTTCCTGTATAAAAATGGAATTGTCTCCGAGGTCTCTTTTTAATGGTTTGTCTGTTTCAATTACTGCAGTTTTGTAGTCTATTTTAATGTCTGGTAGGTCAAGACAGTCCTCTTTGCTCTTCTTTTCTTCCTTCCTTCCTTTCTTTCTTCTCTTCTCTTTTAAGATTGACATATTTGTAGAACTTTTTCCTTGATAAAAATTTTAGAATAAGATTATAGATTTCCTCAAAATGCAGTTTGGTAGTCTGTTTTAATGTCTGGTAGGTCAAGACAGTCCTCTTTGCTCTTCTTTTCTTCCTTCCTTCCTTTCTTTCTTCTCTTCTAAGATTGACATATTTGTAGACCTTTTTCCTTGATAAAAATTTTAGAATAAGTTTATAGATTTCCTCAAAAGAGTCCAGCTGAGAGAACACAACGGAGAGTCCCTGACAAAGCAGGAGAAAAGTGGGGTGCAGAACTCAAATTCTAGTAAAACGAGCAGACTTAATCGTCTGAGACTGGAGGGACCCCGGAAGACATGGCCCCTGGACTCTCTTTTAGCACAAAACTAAAACCATTCCTGAAGCCAACTCTTCAGACAAAGATTAGTCTGGACTATGAGACGTAAAGTGATATTGATAAAGAGTGTGCTTCTTCTTAGCTCAAGTAGATACATGAGACTAAATGGGCAGCTCCTGTCTGGAGGCGAAATGAGAGGGCAGAAGGGGACAGGAGCTGGTTGAATGGTCACAGGAAATCCAGGGTAGAAAGGAAGCGTGTGCTGTCAGAGTATGGGGAGTGCAACTAGGGTCACATAACAATGTATGTATAAATTTTTGTATGAGAAACTGACTTGAACTGTAAACTTTCACTTAAAGCACAATAAAAAAAAAAAAAGAATCCAGCTGATTTTTTTAAATGGGGATTGTGTTGAACTTACAGATTAATTTGGGGGAAAATTCACCTCTGGGTACTGTTTAGGACATTTCATCCAAGAGCATGGCCAAGGTCTCCATTTATTCAGATAATCATTTTTGTCCTCTTTGCTCCATAAAGGTCTTGTGTTTTTGCTAAGTTAAATTCTGAACTCTATAGTCTGTGTTACTTGTGTGACTGATGCCTTTTTTTGTTATGTTCTCTTGCTAGGTCTTGCTGCTATTGTTTTTTGTAAGTTGTTCTTGTGTTTGGCAACCTTGCTTACCATCTAGTTCTAATAGCTGGTCTACTGATCCTGTTGGTTTTAGATATAATTAATTACATATCGTCGGCGAATAAAGACAGTTTAATCTCTTCACAGGGAGCCCTGGTGGTGCAGTGGTTAAGAGCTCGGCTGCTAACATAAAGGTCAGTGGTTCAAACCCACCAGCCGCTCCATGGGATTAAGATGTAGCAGTCTGCTTCGTAAAGATCACAGCCTTGGAAACTCTATGGGGCAGTTCTGCTCTGTCCTATAGGGTCGTTATGAGTCTGAATCGACTCGATGGCAGTGGGTTTGGTTTTGGTTTTAATCTCTTCACTCTCAGTTTTTGTACTTCTTATTTATTTTTCCTTTCTAGTATTGGCCAGGGCCTCAAGGACTACATTAAACAGTAGAAGAAATAGTGAACAAACTCATGGTCCTTATCGTAGAAGGAATACAGCTAAAGTTTCTGAGTGTATAATGCTGGTCAGATATTTGGTATATAATCTTTACGAAGTTAAGGGAGAGTCCTTCTGTTTGCACAGAGGTTTTATCTTAAATGAGTGTTGAGCTTTATTAAATGCTTTTTCTACATTTTTATCTATTGTGACAATCATATTATCTATCTCCTTTTTATATTGATAGTAGATTTTCTTGTGTTAAACAGTCCTCAGATTCCTGAATTCTACTTGGTCATGGTGTCCTATTTTTCAATATAATACTCTTGTTCGATTAGGTAGTATGTATATAATATATATGTGTGTGTGTTTTTATATATGAGATCAGTCTCTTAATTTGCTTTTCTTTTACTAACCTTATTTGACTTCAGAATCACAATTAGACTGGCATTATAAAATAATCTTTCCAGCTCCCTCTCTTTCTCTGGAGTATCTTGTATAAGATAGCAAGTATCCTCAAAAAAGTTTTGAGAACCTACCTGTTTTATGGGACTCATCTGGGCCTGGGGCTTTTTGGATGGGGAGACTTTGAGTCCCATTTCAATTATTGAATGCTTACTGGCCTATTCATGTTTTCTATTTCTTCTTCTGCCAATTTTGGTATATTTTCATATTTTTTCCAAAACTCTTATCTATTTTGTTTAGGCTTTCAAATGTTTTAGCATATAGTTGTTCATAGTATTCTTCTACAAAATTGTTTAAATCCCTTTTCATTCAGCATTTTCTTAATTGCATCTTCTGTCTTTTTTCCTTATTCAGCCTCGCCAGAGGTGTGTCTGTCTTAATAATCTTTTCAAAGGACCAGATTTTTTTCTAATATTCTCTGTAGTTTGTTGTTGCTATTATTCGTTATGTCATTGATTTCTTATTTCACTTTATTATTTCTTTCTGGTTGCTTTGTAGCTCTTTCTCAGCTTCTTGAAATGGATGCTTAGCTCATTGTTCTGGATTTTTTTTTTTTTCCTAAATTTTATTTAGTTTGTTGTTGAGAATATACACAGCAAAACATACACCAGTTCAACAGTTTCTACATGTACAATTTACTGACACTGATTACATTCTTTGAGTTGTACAACCATTCTCACCCTCCTTTTCTGAGTTGTTCTTCCCTCATTAACATAACTTCACTGCCCCCTAAGGTTCCTACCTAATCTTTCAGGTTGCTGTTATTAATTTGCTCCCACATAGATAGTTCTTAAAAGAGCATAATGTTCAAGGCAGACCTTTTTTACTAGGTAAGCTAAACTATTATTCAGTTTTAGATTTCAGGGGATATTTTTGGTTTAAGGTTTAAAGATTATCTCAAGGCAATAGTTTCAGGGTTCATCCATCCTCCATGACTCCAGAAAGTCTAGAGTCCTTGAGGATTTTAAATTCTTTTCTGCATTTCCCCCCTTTTGATCGGGATTCTTCTATAAAATCTTTGATCAAAATGTTCAGTAATGGTAGCTGGGCACCATCCAGTTCTTCTGGTCTCATGGCAAAGAAGGCAGTTGTTCATGGAGGCAATTATCCACACATTCCTGACTGTCCTTCTTCTTCTGTTACTCCAGGTGAATAGCCACCAATTATTGAGCCTTGGATGGCCTCTTGTAAGCTTTTAAGACCCGAGGTACTATGTAATGAAGTAGGAGGTAGAACAGAAGCAGTAAACGTGTTATTAGGCCAAATAACTGGATGTCCCATGAAACCGTGACCCTAAACCTCCAAACCAAGGAACCAAATTCCATGAGGTGTTTGGTTATACATAAGCAGCCTGCTTGTTTTTTTTTTTTTTTTTAATTATTTCTTTAAAAAACATTTTTAATTAAAAAGTACCTACCAAGTACTACTTTAACTTTGTCCCTCAAATTTTAACAAAAATATTTCATTTAAGAAGCAACAGTTTTCATATTTTAGTATCTCTGAAGTCCTGTTTCAGTTGGCAGTGTTTTCCCTTCTTAAGTGTATGTAAAATGATGGTGCATCTTATGCTTAGTGTCATCTTATTGGTGTTTTGTGCTGTCAAGTCAATTCCAACCCATAGCACTCCCGTCAGACAGAGTACAACTGCCCCATAGGGTTTCCTAGGCTGGTAATCTTTACGGGAGCAGACCACCAGGTCTTTTCTACTGCAGAGCCACTGGGTGGGTTTGAACCATCAACCTTTGGTTAGCAGAGGAGTGCTTAACCATTGTGCCACCAGGGCTCTTTCAGTGGCATCTTAGATGCAGTGAAATATTGTATAGTGTGTTCATTGTCTTTTAGCTCTTAAGTATTTCATAATTCCCTTCTAGTTTTTTTCTTTAGCTCAGTAGTTTTTTAGTAATATGCTAGTTTCCAGATATGATGTGTTTTTAGCTTTTCTTTGATTATTAATAATCTAATTTTATTGTGTTAAGGTCAGAGAATACAGCATGTATATTATTTTTTGGAATTTATTAGAATTTTCTCCTGCTTTTCTGTATCCTTTTATCTTAAGGTCAGTATCTGTCAGGGTTTAAAGCACACAAATGTGGGTCTGAGCCCCAGGCCACCTCTCGTTTGCTCTCCAGCCCTCAGCTAGCTGCTTTCTCTTGCTGAGCTTCCCTCTCTTGATCAGAGGAGTGGGGGCTCACCATGCCTGCCTCCCAGAGAGCCCTGCAGGGTGGGGACTAGGGGGTGTGCCCGGCAGTCTGACTCTGAAGTTCCTTTTCAAAAAGAGGAGCAGGTATCCTTCCTAGAGGGGGAAAAAGACTCCATTACGTCCCTCTTTCCCTTTTTCTATTGATAAAGCTGGGAGCCTTGACCCAGTTTATCTTCCAGGGCTCTAGGGAAGAGCAGCAATTAATGAAACACCCTTGAAAGTGTTAACAGAAGTACAAGGATAACAATTGAACACCGTTTATAAACCAGAGCAGGGGTGGGAGTGGGGGACACACAGAGTATAAACCCACTTTTCTTCTTTTTGTAGAATGCAGAGAGCAATTTACAGCAGAAGAATGAAGCCATCACATCTTTTGAAGAAAAAACCAATCAAGTTATGTCCAGCATGAAACAAATGGAAGAAAGGTAACCACTTCCTCCTGGCAGATAGTCCCTAGAAGTTACCAGTACCTTCTCTGGGCCTGGGGACTTATTCAGAGTCTCTCCCAAATGCACAGGCGGGTTGGGATGATTGCTTCTTCAGGTCCATAGTCTCCGCCGACAGAATGGCTGAATTCACCAGCCTTGCCCAAGCGTGCCTAAGTTAATCAACTTTCTAGCTACTGTGTCAACCTATCTTCTCAGAGTTCACTACTGTTCAGTGAGTTCCTTGTTACTCACACATTTCAATATCATACCAGTAATGCATCAGGCTAGAGTTCAAACACAGACACACACAAATGTGGCGAAGTGATTTCTTACAGAGGTGGAAGAGCAATTTAGTGGAGAAAGCATACTCTTTTCAGTAAATGATGTTAAAACAATTATAGTTTCATATGCAAAAAAATAAACCTCAACCTACACCTCATGCTTTATATTTTAAAAAAAGAACTCAAAATGGATCATAAATCTAAATGCAAAACTATAAAACTTTTAGGAGAAAACCTTCATGACTTTGGGTTAGGCAAAGGTTCTTAGCAATGATGCCAAAAGCACAATCCGTAAAAGAAAACTTGATAAATTAGACTTTATCAGAATTAAAAACTTTTGCCCTGTGAAAAATACTGTTAAGAGAATAAAAAGACAAGTTACAGATTGGGAGAAAATTTGCAAATTACGTATCAAACCAAGGACTCGTATCCAGAATATATAAAGAACTCCCAAGACTTAACATAAATAAAATGGGCAAAAGACTTGAATAGACACTGCAACAAAGAGGATTTATGAATGGAAAATAAACACATGAAAAGGTGTGCTGCATCATTAGCCATTTGGAAATGCAAGTTAAATTCACACTGAGATGCCACTACACACTTACTAGAATGGCTAAAATATTTTTTTTAAAACGGACAATACCTAGTGCTGACAAGGATATTGAGCAACTAGAACTGTCCCATACATTGCTAGTGGGAAAATAAAACTCACTTTGGAAAAGAGTTTCTTAAAAAGTTAAATATATGCTTACCATACGGCCCAACAATCCCACTCCTAGGTATTTGCCCAAGATAAATGAAAAATTACGTTCACACAAAAACTGATACACAAATATTCATAGCAGTTCTATTCATAATTGCCAAAAACTGAAAGCAACCCAAATGCCCTTCAAACTGGGGTACATTTATGCAATGAAGTACTACTCAGCCAGAAAAAGGAGTGAACCACTGATGCACACAAAAGCTTGGATTTATCTGAAAGACATTGTGCTAAGAAGCTAGTCTCAAAAGATTACATAATGTACAATTCCATTTATATGACAGTCTCAAAAAGACAAAACCATAGTGTCAAAGAACAGATCTGAGGTTGATGAGTTAGGGATAGGGAGAGGGTATGACTCAAAGGGGTAGCACAAGGGAGTTTTTTGGGGTGATGGAACAGTTCTATATATCTTGACGGTGGTTACACAAATGTGTGCACATATTAAAACTCATGGAACTATATGTACACATTAGAGCCAATTTCTGTTTAAAATAATAGAAAACAAAGCCTTCAGAAATATGCAAAAATCCGACCTAAAATTGTGAGGCTTGGTCCTTTGCTTGTGTTCTGTCCAGGCTGCAGCACTCGGAGCGGGCCAGGCAGGGGGCCGAGGAGCGGAGCCACAAGCTGCAGCAGGAGCTGGGCGGGCGAGTCAGCGCCCTGCAGCAGCAGCTTGCCCAGCTGCACGCACAGTGGTAGGCCTGGGCTATGAGCTCAGGGAGGGCCAGGAGGCCAGCTTCTGATTCTTCTTCTTGTCTCCAGAAAGAATTGAGGGCAGAAAGCATCCTCCTTCAGAGTTTAATTACTCCTTCTCAGACTAAAATTAGGATGAGAGCAAATGTGCTAAGTAAAAAGCCTGTTGATGAGAAAGGAGGTCTTTATTCCCTGTTTCACAATGAGAAATAGGCTCCAAGGGGCTCAGTAACATTCCCAGGGCCCCGTAGGTGGTAAGAAGGAGGAGCCACTCCTGACAAGCTACCATCTTTCCTCCTCATACCCCCTCCTCCTTCCAGGATCCCCTATTGTCAGCGGGCTCTGGGAAAAAGCAGCATACGTTTTGAACTCTTTCTTTCCCCTCAGGTTTCCATTCCAATAGAGGATTCTTCTTTTGTTGTCCTACGTTTTTTAGAGCTCGGTTCCTTTTCCTCCACTTACATAATGTCAGATGTGTACCTGTGCCTGCCTCTGTCCTACGTATCCCCAATCTTAAGGAGGTGGCACGAGGGGTAGGCCTCCATTTCCATGTCTCACTGAAGGATTTAGATGTTAAGGTGGCAACCTGAGCAGGGAACTGGGGTGTGGATTGTGGATTTTCCATGAAAATCTCCACCAAGACTAACTCAAGTTTATTTGGGGAAAACAGCTCAAGTCTAGAGAAAGAGTTGAAATCAGAAAAAGAGCAAAGACAAGTTCTTCAGCGAGAACTACAGCATGAGAAAGACACCTCCTGTCTACTCCAAACAGAGCTTCAACAAGTAGAAGGATTAAAAAAGGTAAAGTGAGTTGCCTCTGGGAGGAAAAAAGCTGCTAGCAGTCTCCAGAAGTCCCACTGAGAGGCTCAGCTACAGTCTTCCCCTACCATACCGTATGTGCACACCTGTCCCAAGCTCCCACAGCCACGGAGTGAGCCCCTGCTGTGCCCAAGCACTGGTCAAAGAAGGCAGCGAGCTCCCTCTCCTCCCTCTCGCACGGAGCTTATGTGTTGAGAAGAGAAGGCAAAAGTGTACTGTAAGCCAGGAAGCAAACGTGTGCTAAACGCAGACAGTGAGTGGTAAGTACTGTAAAGAGACAGACTAAACAAGAAGATGTGAGCCCCACAGTGGGGGCTGGGGTGAAGGGAGGGGTTCGATCTGGAAGTGAAGGCCAATTCAGCAGAGACCTGAGTGCTGTGCCAGAGACAGCCCTGCAGAGCTGGGGACAGAGCCATCAGGCAGACAGCAGGGCATGGAGGGCTCAGCTTACCCCAGGCACAGAAAGAAGGGCAGCACAGCTGGCTGGTTTGTGGCCAAAGTCCCTGGGAGCTGAGGCCTGGGCAGGCAGGGAGCTGACCGTGTGACCCTGTCAGCTGTGGGAAGGAATTTGGATTTTATTCTGAGTGAGGTAGTAAGCTGTTGGAGGGACATTATTCATTTTAAGATCACCCTGGCTGCTGTGTGGAGAACGAATGGTAGAGGCAAGAGAGGAAACTGGGAATAACCCACAAATTTTTTTTTTTTAATTTGAAGATTAATTAAATTTATGAGGTTACATTGATCATGTTATAGGAGTTTTTGTTTGTTTTTAATTTTCTTTAGTTTTTTTGTGCGTGCATTAGGTGAAAGTTTACAGAGCAAATTAGATTCCCATTTAATGGTTTGTACATAAAGTATTTCATGGCCTTGGTTTCATTTCCACAAATATTTTTGAACATGTCCTGGTCCACACTCTCTGGGGGTTATGCACCCTCTGCTCCAGGCTCTTGGGGCTGCTGGTCACTTGACTGTGACCAAGCCAAAAACGGGCTCCCCTCCCCACAACTGTGGTGGAAGGGCCCTTTGTGGCTGGGGCAGCATCCAGACCTGGATTTTTGTTGTGTTGAACAGGTAACGGGTATAGCTGCACAATTAGAACAGAAAGGCTCTTTTGATTTCTGTTGGGAAAGCTCCTAGAGCCCCTCCTGAAGCATGGAGCAGACCTGGGATGGTCGGAAAGGGCTCAGAGAGGGAGGTAGCTCGCTGCCTCAGGCCACAGGGAGGAGACAGGCAGAAGAGAAATTTAGAAAGTTTTGCTGCATCTTGGAGCATACCCCCTTTGCTCCACTTGAAAATACTTTCAGATTTGAATTATAGTCCCCCACCCAAAAAAAAACAAAATAGTGTGTTTCGCATAACCAGTAAGCCCCAGAATGCCTCTTTTGTCTCCTCCTTGTATTGATAGGCTCCATGTGAGGAGAACCTGGCAGGGGGTACTGCTCACCACTCAGGCCTAAGCCCCCTGCTGCTCAATGCCACTCAGCTCTCTGGCTCCAGGCGCCTTCAGAGAGAGGGGCTTGCCTCTCAGACCATGAGTGAGATCCCACATCTTGCCCTCACCAGCCCTGCTCACTCATTCTCAGGAAATTCTGACCAGTCCTTTCCAAAAAAAGTTCATTCCGTGGTGAGCAAAAATGCCCCCTTTTGAACTAGCCGTTGCTGGGGCAGGCTTTGTATCATTTTGCATAGGGTTTATGTATATATCTTTTGAAACAGTTATGTTTTAAAAATTCTGTTTTTTCGTAGAAGCTCATCTAGGCAGAGCCTCACTTGCCCTGTGAGTGTGCCTGTCTTTATTGTGTCTGATGATCATAGCACTGTCCTGTGCCGTGTCCTTCCCCGGCTGCAGAGCACTCCTGCAGCACCTACGTCCATTTCTGCCCGTTCTTGAGAAATAAGTATGTGATGTAATCCATGAAATAATCCTGACCTGAATGAGGTTGATAAAAACCAAAACCAAACCTGTTGCCATCGAGTCAATTCTGACGCATAGCGACCCTGTAGGACAGGGTAGAACTGCCCATAGGGTTTCCAAGACTGCAGGTCTTTTATGGGAGCAGACTGCCACATCTTTCTCCTGCGGAGCCGCTGCTTGTTGCTTTTACTGTTAAACCTTAGAAGAAGAAAAAAAAGACTTCCAATTCCATGTTAGGTGTCTGGTTTGTTCATTTTAGGAGCTGCGGGAGCTCCAGGACGAGAAGGCAGAGTTACAGAAGGTGTGTGATGAGCAGGAACAAGCCCTCCAGGAAATGGGACTGCATCTTAGCCAGTAAGACCCCCACTCCCCTCACCTGCCACTGTGTGCCAGGCTAAAGGGTGGGCTCCCTCCCGAGTGAGGACATCCCACCAGTCTGCCCACCTCATCACTCAAGCCCCAAGCCTGTATCCTGCTATCCAAAGGAGGGAGGTCCAGTCAGGAGGCTTGCTCACTGTTGAAGGGCGAGCTCCCAGGAAGTGAGGCCACAGAAGTATCCCACATTGATTTATGCCCACCAAGTGGGGATATTAGTCAGCTATGAGTTAACAAATTCCTTGAGAATATTCTTTTCTAGCAACCAGAACACTCATGTTCACTAACTTAATATCTAGGTCCTAAGGGAACCAGATCAGTGATGAGGGCTGCTTGGTCGGCTTGTAGTCAGACCAGAGAATTCAACCCCACCACGGTGAAAGCACTTTGGTCAGCCCTGCCGTACCACGAGCCACCTTTCTAAGGACTGGGCCCTTGCCTCCACCAGACTCTCTCTCCCAGAGCTGGGAAGTGCTGAAGGAACACACACCCTGGTGGTTCTGTCTCTCCTGTGACTTGACTGCTCTCCTACCCATCCTCTAGTCCTTCAAGGTTGCTCTAAGCACCTTGCCCTCCTCGTAGATAGTCACATTGCAGGTTGTAGAATTTGTTCATTTGTGTGATTTTCCATTTTATAGCTCAGTGGATAGCTTTTCTCCTTACAAGTCAAGACTCTCAGTTGCAAGTGACAGAAATCCAACTCAAATTTGCTTAAGCAGAAAGTCATCAGGAATCAGCCTCCACCTCCTCCCTCTGCTGTCCTGTTGCTTACCGCAGAGGGGGGTCTGGCTCCCACAGGGCCAAGATGTGCTAGCAGGGCTGAGCCTGCAATCTGTCAGAGGAACAAAAGTCCCTCTTTCTCCATAGCTCGCACAGAAGCCCCAGGCTGACTCACTGTTCCTACCTGTGTCCATCCCCATGCCTGACACAAGTGCTCTGACCAGAAAAGGTTCGGAGACAGGGACAGAAATGGGAATAAATTAGAAATGCACTCAGATAGTAGGTAGATGTGTAGAAGATGAGGAGTTTGTATCAGAGTCTGAAAGCCGGAAGGTCTAGAGCAGTGCTTTAAGGGGTAGCCACAACGTGAGGAGGAGCTTGGGCTAGAGCGTAAATCTACACAGGCTCCCTCAGTGTGGCAGCCTGCTGCAAGAGACCACAGAGTTAGTGACGTAGATGATTTACATTCTCATATGAGCTCCTCGTCTCAGCATGAACTGGAAACAAACAGTTGGCTGAGAGCCAGTCTGCAGACCACACTTGGACCAGTGCTAGTCTAGAGGATATGGGGAGTCCCCGGGGGCGCAAATGGTTAAGTGCTTGACTACTAGCTGAAAGGTTGGCGGTTCGAACCCCCCCAGAGTTGCCTCAGAAGTGAGGCCTGGTGATCTGCTACCAAAAGGTGACAGCCTGGGAAACCCTATGGAGCAGTTCTACTCTGCACACACAGGGTCACCATGAGTTGGAATCAGCTTGACAGCAACTTGTAAGAAGAAGAAGATACGAACATGTGAACATGTTTCTAAAACTAAAAAGAAACATTTCAGTTCTAGAAATAAGTCTGTCTAACCTCAAAGGGTATAGAAGAAATAATCTTGGGGGAGTTTGGAAAATGAGCACGTCTCAGATTTTGGGAAGGGCAGCACCAGTGTTGCCTCTGAGAGTCATAAAAGTGAGTAAGTGTGATACTGCGGAAAAGCAGACATGGAAGGAGCGTGAATTCTTATATAACAAGCCATCTTGGGAGTTTAAAGTAGGTCCCAGCTGAGGCTGTGTCCATGGCAAAGGACAGGCCGATCTCAGACGGGCCTGGAGTCTCAGGAGCGTGGCCAATTGCAGGAGTCTTGCGCTGCAGGTGCTCAGTGTGGTTCTTGGAGCCCTGGTGAGCTGGCAGGACATATGTGGAATAGGCTCCAGCCCAGAGGCACCCACGGTGCACCTTGGGGTGATAGCTCCTATCCCACCAAATGTCCAGGTCCTCTCTTTCTGCACCAGGCATTCCTAACCCCATCAGCCATTCCCAGGGCATAATTTGCCCTCCTGGTCGCATTTCTTCAGGGGTATCCTGTTTAGCTTTTTTTTTTTTCTTATCAGCACGTAAGGCATACAGTAACAAATAAGCCTCCCTTCCACCCTTACCCAGTATACCAGTTCTCTCCCTTAGAGGCAGCCATGTTTCTAGTTTTGTGTGAACCCATTTAGAAAGATTCTTTTCATATCGTTAAGTGTGTGTCATGTGTCTCTAACCTAAAACAGAGCACACTATACCCACTGTTCTGTGTGTTATTTCTTTATTAGTACATCTTAGACATTTTTAAGGCAGTGATGGTTCAGTGGTAGAATTCTCACCTTCTGTGCAGAAGACCTGGTCAATGCACCTCATGCGCAGCCACCACTGTCTGTCAGAGGAGGTACGTGTGTTGCTATGATGCTGAGCAGGTTTCAGCAGAGCTTCTAGACTAAGACTAGGACGAAACGCCTAGCAATCTACTTCGAAAATCAGCCAGTGAAAACCCTATGGATCACAATAGTCCAATCCCATTGTACATAGGGTTGCTGTGAGTTGGTGGCTGACTCAGTGGTGGCTAACAACAACAGACATGTTTACGTATCATCAAACAGAGTTGCCTCAGTCTTTTTAAGGGCTACACGGTCTTTCCTTGAAGGGTTGTGCCTTAATTTACTTCTCAGTCCTGGGTTGGTGAGCAATGTGGTGTTTCCCGTTTGTGCTACTTAACTGCAAGTGACGCTGCAGCAGACGCTGCACAGTGCACATCCCCTCACCCCACCTCCCCATGTGAGCGCAGGTCTGTGTCTTCTGAGCATGAAGAGCTTCCTTCCCATGGCCCAGACCCCGATTGTGGTGTAGGCAGTCCTTGCATGGGGGGAATGTGCCCCCTCACCAGTTCATTTCGAACCTAGTCACAGAGGCTTAGAACATGCTAGTTGTTAGACACCTGTGTGTCAGAAAAGCACTTGGGAGTGTCTAAGCAAATGTGGAGTTGCAGACTCATCCCCTCCCAATGTGGTGGGACAGCTAGCTGGGACAGGGAGAGCACACGACCTAAGTGGGTGCCCACTTACCTGCTGGGACCCATATCTGCAGCCAGTCCCACCTGAACATCCCTGCACGACCCTGCTTCACAGGGGTTTCAAGTTTACTTAGTACCATTTAATGTTCCCAGCAGGTAGAAGAGTTGTAGATAAGATCATCCTCCAAGCCACCATGGGATTAAAGAGTCTTAAATATGGGCTGCATGGACTCTCTAGAGAGGCCAGGCAAGCACGAATGAATGAGCCAAGTGGGGCTAAAAGAAAAAGTGTGCTGGACCCTGAGTATGAGCAGCAGATAAACCATGGCCTCAATGCCAGAGGGAGGTGGGAGTGGTGGGAATGGGGCAGATGGAAGCCCCCAGGGCCTATCTGGCTGCAGCTGACTATTGCCATGTGGGAGTGGGGCTCAGTATTGCCAGAGCTGTCCGTGGCTTAACCTAAGCTAGAAAGACAGGTTTATACCTACCACCTCTGTTAAAGCCCGGTCAGCCAAAGACCAGCAGGGACAAGGCTGTGGTCCAGCAAAAGGAGGTTTCTTGACTTGATGCAGCGGGAAGGCACCCTGAGGAGCTATATTCCATATGCCTGCCACCATAAGCGCAGGAGGGAAGCGTCTTTTGTAAGGTTTGGGCTCCTGTGACGGATTCTGAGGCAGGTCTCAGGGAAGTGGAAGTACTGGATAGGCTGCTGTTTCTGAGGGCGGGATTAGGAGAAGTAGGGATGAACGAGGGGTTGGGTGCTGAGGCTGGGCAGTTTAGCAGTGGCTATACACAGGAATAAAGAAAAACAGCAAAGCAGGTCTGGCCTCAGTGGTAAGGAAGCAGTAGTCTCGCAAAGATGGGCCGTTAGAACATGGCGCAGCTGCTGCAGCCTTGGGAGGAACTGTTTCCAGTTGACCGTGTAGATGCTCTGTCCACGGCTGTCCTCTCAGTCCAGCTAACAGTGAGTAGCAGAGCTGCTTTTTTCAATCTGAGTACATTTTTGCTCTTTCAGGACCAGACAGGTGTTTACTCTTTGACTTTCCAAATTTTTAACAGTGGCAGTTAATACAGTTAAGAAAAAATACATTAAGAGCCTGAAAAACCTCTAATAAAGTTTAACCCCAAAGGACAGATGTCGAGAAAAGCAAAGGCCAGACATGATGATGTAGCAAATCGGTAACCTGTTGTTAAGAGCCCCATTTCCTGAGGAGAGAGGGTGTTGGCAAGCTCCCCATCACAGGCTCTGCCTTCCAGAGCTTAGAGCCAAGACAAAGGGAGGAGAGGTTGGCCGCCTGGTCCCCTAAAAACAGACCAGGACACTCAGTGCTGCCGTCATATTAAATAGGAAGTTTCACAGAACCATTGGAGAAAGAAACTGTAGGGACTCTGACAGAACGTGGTCCTCTGAAATAGTTTGAGATGAAGATGCTGCCCTCCCCCTGGCAGCCCCACTGTCAGAAACTCCCCTCCATATCTGCAAGAAGACTCAGGCCTACTCCTCAAACCTAGTGCTGCCCTGCTGTGCCCTCCTGCCCCCACTTTCGGGAGTTTCAGTGCTCAGAGCAGGCCAGCTTGAGGGCACTCCGGGAGCACAGACCAGAACTAGACGCAGAGGAGCCAGACACCTTGTGCTCCCCAGAAAAGTTGTCTTACTGGCTGCCATCCTGATCTCCGTCTGCTAGGCTGTTTCTGCAGCCGCCTGTGGAGGGAAGGAGCTGCCTGCTGAGCGTTAGGAGAGGCCAAGGTTTTTTCCTAAAGGCTGTTTTCTAATCCCACACATAAAAGTCTAGCCTTGTCCCTCAGAAGCCTGTCATTTTGACACTTAGATTTATCTAACCATGATGGATTAGACTAACTCAGTTTTAAGAATGGACCCAGCCTGTTTCCCCCAGAGTGCAAATAACAGTGTTCTATTTGTTTTAATTCTGCCAGTTTAGACTGTTCAGTCCTGTCTTTTATGTGGAAAACGAAGGAACTGTTTCCATGAAGGAGAGTGGAGAAGACATGGCTGGCCCTTTGGGTCCTTGGCCATGGTAGACAAGCAGGCAGGAGGGAGCGGGCTGGGAAAACACTGCAGACACAGCTCCTGAGCAGAGCTGAGCCCGGGGCTCTTCAGACAGGTAGGAATGTGAGCCCTGAGGAGCCAGAAATCCGGGTTTCTATGCAACTATTTCGAAATCTTTTTAAACCCTTGCAGGCTAGTCTGAGTCCACAGGCTGTATTTCTCAGCCTCAGACCTAGGTGAATATGTGAGCCTCTGTGATTAGATGATGCTAGAGGTTATAAAAAGGAGGGAAGCATTCTGTTGTTAGGTGCCATCAAGTCGATTTCAACTCATAGTGTCCCAATGTGACAGAGTAAAACTACCCCATAGGGTTTTCTAGGTTGTAATCTTTATGGAGACAGATCACCAGGTCTTTGGTCTTTCTCCTGTGGAGGTGCTGGGTGGGTTCAAACAGCCAACCTTTTGGTTAGCAGCTGAGTACTTAATCACTGTGCCACTAGGGCTCCTTAGGGAAGCATTTTAGAACATCATATTATTGTATTCTTGCTTTATAAGTCTGGTTATCCTCTCAAAGCCAAGCAATTGCTGTTTGTTGTTAGTTTTAGAGCCTCTCTCACGTGTATTGAATGGTTTTGTTTTTTGTTTTTTTTTTAAAAAAAGGTCAAAGCTGAAGATGGAAGACATAAAAGAAGTAAATAAGGCACTGAAGGTACTGGATTATTGTATTAGCATAATAATCACTACTAATAGCTCTCAGCTTACACTAATACTTTTGGGCTCCTGTATTTTCTCACAATTCAGGTGAGAAGTTGTAGCTGAGGTTGTAGTGGCAGTCACATATTTACAAAATGCTGCCCAAGAGTGGAGATGCTGAAAAGTGGCAGGACCAAAACTAGAACCAGTCTTCTGCTTCTGATTCCTCTGCTGTCGGCTGTACCAGGCTGCGTTGTGGGAGCAGAATTGGCTTTCCTAATGAGGAAAGCTAAAGGAGCAGAGAGAGGCCCAGGAATTAAAAGAGTGAGACCTTTCCTCCAAGTGAGGGCTAACCAAAAGGTTGGTGTTTCAAACCCACCCAGCAGATCCGCAGAAGGAAGAATTGCCAATCTGGTTCCTTAAAGGTTACAGCCTGAAAAACCCTATGGGGCAGTTCTACTCTGTAACACATGGGGTCACTAAGTCAGAACTGACTCAATGGCACCCAACAACAGAGTGAGGCATACTCCTGAGGGAGAGCAGACCCAGTGATGTGGCCCTGTGAGGACGGGAGTGGGGGTGGGGCAGACACTCTAGTCACTGCCACTCCCTTCCAGAGCCAGTTGCTCTGCAGCCTGTCCCAGCAGGCCACTTCATAGCAGGGAGTGACCACCCACCCTGTTTAAGGGCAGCTTCTATCCCTTGGCCTCAGTTCTGTCACAGCAGTGCAAACTCAGTCCTCTTCCACAAGGCAGCCCGCCCTTTGCTTTATTTCAGAGCAGAGACCCCATGTCAGAACTTACTTTCCCAGTTTATACATGCAAGTTTAATGTCTCGGTTATGATTCCCCAGCCTGGAGTTCTAGTTAATAGTTTGTTGTTAGTGCCCATCAAGTCGGTCCCCAACTCACGGCAACCCTATGTACAATGGAATAAAACACCCAGTCTGGTGGCATCCCTGTGATCGGTTATGGATTGGACTGTTGTGATCCATAGGGTTTTCACTGGCTGATTTTTGGAAATAGATCACCAGGCCTTTCTTCCTAGTCTTAGTCTGGTATCTCTACTGAAACCTGTTTATAGCATCACAGCAACACGAAAGTCTCCACTGACAGATGGGTGATAGCTAAGCATTTAGTGCATTGACCGGGAATCAAACCCAGGTCCTCCCGCATGGGAGGCAGGAATTCTACAAAAATCACCAATGCCTCATAGTTAATAGTTAGATCTAGTTAATATCAACTTATGTTATCCTCCCTTGTAGGTTGAAAGCTCCTTGTATGTAAGTGCTGTGAGCAGTTTATATCCTTGTGCTGCCCAGAGTCTTTACACGTAATAACCACAGCTAACAGTGACTGGAAACCCTGGTGGCATAGTGGTTAAGTGCTACTGCTGCTAACCAAAAGGTTGACAGTTCGAATCCACCAGGTACTCCTTGGAAACTACAGAGCAGTTCTGCTCTGTCCTACAGGGTTGCTATCAGTCGGAATCGACTCAACAGCACTGGGTTTTTTTTTTTAAGTGACTAGAGTCACAAGGAGCTATTTTATGTAAGGATAAAAGCCCTAGGCATGCCTTGGTAGCCCCAGGGGCATGGTACTGTCATTTGCAATGGTAAGGACAATTGTGTGTCATCAGAAAACACATGCTGAGGACCCAGATAAGTACATCATGCCTTTGACTCTTCTGAACATCTCAGTCCTTGAGGCAGAATAAGTCACATATCCTTGTTTTCCTTTAGTAAGACCTCTCAGTCATCAAAACTGCAGTTGCCCCCTCTGTAGAGCTGTTTCCAGTGCTGCTGAGGAGCAGGTGTTGGGCGTGTGGAAGGGCTTCCTATGGCCTAAGGGGATCTGCTCTCTGCTGCAACCTGCTATAGGGAGCAGTGTGGCAGATTGTTCTATTCTCATTTGGCCCTTTTCCCTCCTGCCACTTCAGCAATCTGATTCATTCTCTCAGCCAAAAGGAATTTATTGAAAAGGGTATGAGTGAGTCTCAGGTCAACAGGAGGCTGAAGAATCTGCCTTGAGCTCTAATGGGCAGCCTGCAGAGGCCCTTAGGGGCAAAAGGAGAGAGGGCAGGCCCTCGAGCTGAACACATGGACTTGGCTGTGGCCAGGGTCGGGGAAGGGCCCATTCATCACAGTCCTGTAAGGCCTCATCTAGTGGAGAAGACCCTAACTCCTTAAAGGAAATCAAGGTGCTATTTGGAAGAGACAGTGGATACACAGCTAGCCAATTGTCTACCACGGCCTGAGATGTAAAATGGGATTCTGGTGTTTTTTCCTTCTCAGGGCCACACTTGGCTGAAAGATGACGAAGCAACACACTGTAAGCAATGTGAAAAGGAGTTCTCCATTTCCCGGAGAAAGGTACGTGGGGTGAACCTATACCCACCAGCCCCAAGGCTTGAGTTGCTATGTGCCAGGCTCATTTCTCTGGCCCCACTTTCCCATACTGAACTACCACACTGGCTGGAAAGGCCCTCTCATCCGACCAGGTGCATTACACTGGGATTGTCCTCACTGCTCTGCCATCACCCTGCCAGCTCTCAAAAGAACAGCCCCAAACTCTCCTGCCCATGTCCACCTGTGAGGTCCCTGGCCAGTTTGTCACAGGCCCCTGTCCCCACCATGCCCCTCTCAATGACTGCTAGCAAATGTGTCCGGGGCTTGGGCTTTCTCAAATGCAGAGCTGCTTTAGGTAAGTGTCACTAAAAATCCTTTGTAAGCCAACAGGACCCAAACCTAGCTAACTTTGGCAGACTCTAGAGGGAACCTGTGGGATAGCAGGTTTCAGAACAGGCACCCAGACAGCACCAGCAACTGAGTCTGTCTGGGTAGGGCCCCATGCTGGAGTGAACCTGCCTCTGCCATTTTTTGTTTGTGCCACCTGCTTTCAGTTTCTAGGAACTGTATTAGGTCCTGGCCCCCACTTCGGTTAGGGTTGACAGTCTCACCAAGACCAGTAGGGTAAGGGGTTGGGGGGCACATATCCCAAGCAAAATTTGGGGCCATTACTAAACATAAGGGGAGTGCCTGCTGCTTGCGCCCCACCGCCATCCACAACCATGTGGATCTTGTTCTCATCTGCTTGTGGTAACAGCCTATCTCTATGGGAAAGAGAAAGAACTCTGCCAAATTCTAGTCAGTGCCTCACAGTAGGCTCAGAGGTACAAGGGCAAAGAGCTCATCTAGAAACCCTCCTGAGGCTGCCCTTAAGATCACACGGAGTCCTTTGGCCTGAAATGGTCAAGTTCAAGGTGTGCCTGATAGGAGTGGGTTAGTTGGCAGAACTAGTCTCAACAGCAGGCTGGGCTGGTTCCAAAAGGAGCAGAGGGGCCGGGCTAAAGACCCTTGGGATGCAGCAATTCAAGGGAATGAACTGAGGCTCTTTGTGTAATGACATGGATTAGCTATTTTGTTTTAAAGAACAAAATACACCTTACATTCATGCAAGTACATGCATATGTTTTACAGGAATATAAATGTAGAAGCAAAGCAAAGGGAAGGGCCAAGTAGAACTCATTCCAAATTGATGAACATCCTCTGGGGGAGGGATCTGGGTGTGTCTGGATATTAAAATAAGTTTTTAAAGGTTTAGATACAGAAGAGGTATACAGATGGCATCTCGCCCGTTAGAGGGAGCGATGCTGCTGGTCCTGTGAGTACCTTTTTCCCATCCTCTAGCACCACTGCCGCAACTGCGGCCACATTTTCTGCAACACATGCTCCAGCAACGAGCTGGCCCTCCCATCTTACCCCAAGCCAGTGCGGGTGTGCGACAGCTGCCACACTCTGCTCCTGCAGCGCTGCTCCTCCACCGCCTCCTAAGGACCACCCTGACCTCCATCCTCCAGGAGTGGGCAGAGGCAGCCTTGGAACAGTGCCAAACTCTTTGCATCTCAGGGAAACACCAGGGCTTTGGGAAATTTATTGTTTCTCCCAGAGAATCAAGGGAAAGAATAAAATCCTCACCTGGCCTGCTGGCGCTCCGGAAGGTAACACAATGGAACTGGAAGTTGGGAGCCTCTCCTTTTTGTATTGTATGGAGTTACCTCTTCTGGATCGAAACTCTTCTCTCACTTTGTTACATCACTGGCTTTGTTCAGATGGAACTTCATGGTTTTGCTACTATCATCATTTTAAACATTTCAGAGGATTAACCTCTTCAAGCAGTTGTTCTAGGGAGTAATCGATTCCTTTTTCTCCCTTCCCCTACTCACCCTCCCTCCCGGAAAGCCCTTTGATGTGTCCACCATTTTCTGCCACACCAGGGTACGTCAGTGTGCCTTCTCTGCTTCAGTCAGGGTTTGCCATTCCACACCCTTGTCAATACTTAGCACTGGCCCACAATAAAATCAGTTATTTTTCACTCTGGTGCAGAAAATGAGCTTGTATCTATTTTACAGCAGCTTGCTAGCCATCCCCTTACCTCTGGCTGGCTGTGGAAGGATGCCTTCGTCTCAGGAGCTTTTGAGGTGAAGGGCTGGGACAAGGTTTTTAGAACATCACCTAGGTGGGAACTGAATAATCCTGCTGGCTCTGGGGCTCAAGCTGTGTTGTGCACAGGTGAAGCAAGGCCAGGTTGGGGGCCTTGACACAATGGGCATGCACTGTGCTGTGAAGTCCATCAGCAGGCAGAAGAACTAACCTTAGTAAGCTGTGGCTGAAGCCCAAAAGTTGCTCGTTGATAAAACAAATAGGGAGTTGACAAACCGTGGGAAAGCACAACGGGCAGTTTTCTAATCTCAAAATGTTAAAGAGAGGTGCTGTTTGTGGGGCTATGAGGACTGGTCACTCCCCCACCCCCATATCAGAGCCATGAGAGTTAATGTGTCTGTCAGTGGTCTAGAATTTTTAGGCTAGAAACACGCACATATTGTATGCACATCAGACAAGTCAGTCTTCTGGTCTTCAGCTTCCACCAGCCCTTTCTTTCCCTCCTATTCTCTGGCCTAGTCTGAGCTGTCCCAGCCCCTGAAAACATAGAAAGGCTCACCACAAGGTTCCAGTACTTCTGCTGTCTGGATGGGAAATCCAGGAGGTTCAGCACGTTTATAGTCCAGGATCTACCCCAGGTCTTGCAGTTAAGGAACTGTGCAGCCCGAAAGCCAGGTCCTTTCTAAGCTGCCCTTCCTGAGTTTACATGTTTTCAGCCGTTTTAGGGAAGGTACATGGTGGCTAAAGGGGCTGCAAAGGGCCCCCTCCCCTCACTTAACCTGAGCAGCTGTTTTTTTTATCTCACACCAGGCCCCAGCTTTTTCAGAAAGTTTACATACTTTTTGCATTACCTCAAAACTGTTCTAATATCAGACATCTGTACCTTGTTTTCAATGTACCCAATATGGACTCCAACTTGCTGGGGGACCTTGGGCAAGTCACTTCACTTCTGAGCCTTAGTTCCTTTATCTGCACACAAAAAAGGAAGCAGGGTAATACCTCCCTACTTCAAGACCCTTTGACACTTCGTTAAGTACATGAAGTTCCCACCACTGCCTAACATTTATCACCAACTGCTCAGTGAGTCTCTGCCTTTATCACACCTACTTCTCTCCCACCGCAAGCAACAGATGTTCATTAAGATTATTATTCACAATTGATCCACATACCAGAGTTACCAATATTTAGCTACTTGAATGGAAGATTCCATTTCTACTCACTTTAAACTTCCACACCTGAATTTGGGAACCCTTGTCTCTAGTCTGACACCACATTCTTCCAATCTAAGCAATGAGTTCTAAAGCAGTGCTTTTCAAGCCTCAATGTGCATATCAGTCGTGGGGGTGGGGGGGGTCTCTTTAAAATGCAGGTTCTGATTAAGAGGGTCAGGAGTGTCTGAGTCATTCCTAGCACGCTCCCAAGTGATGACTCTGGTCCAGGGAAACAAGGTTCTAAAGAACCAGAATGCCTCTTGACTTTTTTAAAAACCAAATGGTTCTGGAGTCCCTTACTTACGTTACCAAGTTCCCTTCCAACTGGCCAAGTTTTGACAAAAGATCTTCCCATATTCCTAGATTTAAAGCAAGTTAATTGAAGGGCCCAGGGAGAGACTAACCCTTCTTGAGGTCCTTCTCACCAAGTCTCTGTGGTATCAAGGAACTTGGCCAAGATCTCAGCAGCAATACCAGGCTTGTAACTAAGCTGAATGCCAATTCTCTGCACTGCCTCCCTCCCTTGAAAACTATGTCTCTGGACTTGTTTGGAAGACAAAAGCTCCATGACATTGAAAATGAAAACATTTCTATATCACCAGCCTAATTCCAGACTGTTCCCTCCACTGGTGTGCAACTAGGACTAGATAGTATATACATAGCAGGGCACGAGGTTATCTGCAGGGCCCTTCGTGCCCATCTTTCACATGCAGCGCTGCTATCTATAGCTATACTGAGTCCAGTTTTTCAGAGAAAATTAATCTAAGCCATACCAACACCCATGAACAAAACTGAAAAAACCTTCAGTACCGTTACAGAAAAACTTCTATGTGTGGCTTTAAAAAACACAAGCCTATGTACCCATTGCCACTGAGTAGATTCCAACTTATAGTGACCCTGTGTACCTAGCTCAAATTCAAATCTCAATACAAATGACTTCTGACTCTGAAGGGATAAACTGAGTGGCAGGTTCCCAAACTACAGTGCTTCTAAGTAGCTACTGAAGATAAAATAACTCTGGGGTACACCTTTAAGAACTGCTTAATCCAGCTTATACAGAACTTTAATTCCCAGCAAATGTCATGAGTTCTAACCTACCAAAACAGAAAAGTTTCAACACTTGATTTACATTACTTGTCTTTACCCTCAGTACTACTTGGTATTCTACCCTCAGGAAGTTTACAGGGAATCAGGAATTTTGTTCTTGACTTGATTTTTAGGAATGAGGCAAAATATGTTGACTAAAAACTTGAAAAGCTCCTTCTAGAAGACATCCCATCATAAATACAAAATTAGAGACAACCAGATTCAAAAGGGTACCTTCTAATCACCCCCATCTGTTACTTCTCAGCCATGCCTGAAAGCAGCCTTTGTGGACTGCAGGCCATGCAGTAAAGTCCACTCATGCCTCTTCCTTTGCTTTGTGCAAGTGCTTAGCAAGTTAGGCACTTCAAATCAGGTCACGTGCAGCCAGGCCAAACATATAGCCCTTCCAAAAGGGCCCCCAAGCTATGTTTACCTTAGTTGCACCGGAGGGAAGAGAAGTCTGAAGACATCTACACAACAGCCTCAACTGCCGAGCCTCTGCCACAGCTACCACTGTCACCTACGCCCCAGGCAGGAATAGAGCACCAAGAAACAGTCCACATGACACTGAAGCACAGACAAGACAAATTGCAGTTTTTAAAAGGAAGATTTATTTGACAAGTTTCACTTAGCGCAATACACCTAAAAGGAAATCACAATGGAAGTTTTAAATCAAGGCCTCAGAATTTCATATAAACACCAAGACCAAAATCCTGAAGTACTGGTATTGCGTCTCATTTTCCCCATTAACTTAAAAAAGCTTAAACTTACGTGCCTTACAGGTTATTAAATGAAACTAGAATTAACAAACATGCCAAATGTTTCACTTTTAATTGTAGACACAGCTCCTATATTTGAGTTTTACAAAAAAGCATGTCTTTCAACATGCATTGTGTTCAATGTAATGTGGTATAAGAGCAACATTTAACATAATTGAACTGCTTTAACCTAAATACGCTTACTGCTTAAGTACATCCTACAACTAACTGGAGAAAAGCTGAAAATTGTTTAACAGTTATAGTTTACTCAAACTTCGTTGTTACACCTAGGTGAATGTTTCATATTCAAAAACACTGAACCTGAAATCATTTTAAAACAATCCTGATTTCCACTTAGAGTAAGCATAAATCACGAGCTTAAATTGCAAAACTGTTAAGATTTTTTTTTTTCCTTTTTCTTAAAAAAATGTTGACCAAGAGTCAGTGTTAAGGATTACATTCCCCATCCACCACTCATACTGGACATGCTAGACATCCCTCCCATTCCATTCACTCCCATAGATGCACGGCTTCCACTACTGTAGTAGCTGCTGTTCATTGTTCCTTGGCTACCTGCAAAGAGATCGATTTGACAAGTTAGGAAAAGTGTCACACTATCAGCTGAATAAAATACAGCATTCCAAGAAAAAGTTTAAAAGGTTTTAAAAGAGTACAAATGGCTGCTGTCCAAGTGGCGAGAAGCATGTTTGGGAAAGGGGAAACCTGACTCCAAACAAGTCTCAATTAACCCCTTTTCTCTGCAGTACCAACTTGCCAGACTCTTGTGCTACCATTTAAGTGGATACTTCAGGATCAACACGGAAAATTAAGTTTAAAGGAAAACTAGTGTTTTTCAAAAATTGCAAAAATTACTTCATGTTGTTTTTAAAGCTAAGCAAGGCATTTCAAAAAAAATTTACCATAAACATTCACAATGTGTCCATCAAATGGCATATGAATAGGGAGCACAGGGGAAGTCTCTTGCTTTTCCTATTCATGGTGGGCAGGAAGTGAGACGACAAAGTTGGACTAAAGGCAACTCACTGTGCCCAAAATGGCAGCCTCCATGGAGTTAAGTCAGAGCCATTGACTGCTATGGGAAGTGTTATTACAACATATCAGTATTTGCTATTGGGAATTTATATTTTTTGAGAAAATATTTACCTATGCAATGTTTGATTGAAAATCACTGGAGTTTTCCTGTAAAACTTGGTCTGCAAAAGGATTTTGTAGGGTAAGACTATAATACCAAAATCACCATTCTTTAGACCAATTGAAAAAAATAAATAAAACTAATCCTAGGTTAAATGACTAATACATACGGTCCT